GTATTAAGTATTCTAGTAGTGTTTATTCCATTAAGTATTCAAGTAGTGTATAATGACAAGAGTATGCAGGTGTAAGCTTTAAAAAAGCTTTATTCAACTGAGAATACAAAATTCATGTATAGTGTCGTTTTATAGTCTCAGTAAACAGAAATAGCTCTCTCAATGAGGAGAGTAACAAAACAAGGGGAGACCACTTTTGATTATTCATAACATAGTGTTTATTCCATTAAGTATTAAGTATTTGAATAGTGTTTATTTTGTTAAATATTAAGTATTCTACAAGGTGCCCAGTAAAAAAGTGGCCAATTTATCCTTCAAGAAAATACACCAGCTCCAATTGGTCCATCTTAATGGCTCTTTAAAAGCCCAGATCTGAATGTTATGAATTACTGTTTCTGGAGTATACTGTGAACTCACATGTAAAACCATTGCCATGACAGTCAGTATTGATTCATTAAAGTGGAACTTAACTTATCCTTGGAATGATATTACTACTGCTTCTTGGTTACCACACTTACAACTTTGTGTTGAATATTCAGGCAAATATTTTGAACACCTATGATGATTATTCAGTCATTGCATGAAGCATGACAGCTAAATAAATTTCTTTCTGAATTTACCACTTTTTTTACCGGGCGCCCTGTAGTAGTGTTTATTTTGTAAAGTATTAAGTATTAAGTATTAGTTTATTATATTAAGTACTAGCAGTAGAGCCCGGCGTTGCCCAGGGATGTAACAGTAAGAGATAGATCAAGTATCGACCATCATAAAGACTGAAAAATAAAATTAAATAAAAGGTTAACGGACATGCATGTCTTAATTAGTTTTTTTTATTTTTTGTTTTTTTTTATTTAATTGATCGAACCCAAACTCAAACAAAAAAAACACTGTTTCAGTCGTTATGAGTCCACCGATTGAATAGAATTTTATTATAAACAATTATCTTGTAAATGGAATTTTTAAAGCATTCTGAATGTAAAATAAAGAAAAAAAGTGTGCAAGACAATAAGAAACACTAACTGCCAAAAAAAGGGGAAGTTTTGTTGAAATCGGTTGAAAAATGTAGGAAATCCGATCCCATATATAAACGAACTCATGCACACACACATACACACGCACACACACACACACACACACACACACACACAAACAACCTGGTTTTTATAATAAGTATAACTCGATAACTTGATATTAATAAGTATAACTTGATGTGAGTTGTCCCCCTTTCATTAATGTCTCTTAATCGTGTTTTCAAATTGATTTCATGCAAAAAGAATTTTGTTTTCCAATTTTTGGTGCCGTCAGAACCACCGCAAGGTAATTTTACGTAGTCCTCTGAAGTTTTGTTGAAATCGGTTGAAAAATGTAGAAAATCCGATCCAATATATAAACGTACAGACACACACACACACACACACAATCTGCGTTTTATAATAAGTAAGATTAAATATTCTAGTATGCTTATTCCATTAAATTTTAAATATTCTAGTAGTGTTTATTCTGTTAAGTAACTTGCAAGATGGTGAGGTACTAAAATGAAATTCTACAAATTTAATTTTATGAGATCTGATGCAAGTTTTTTTTTCTCCCTCTAATAACCTTTAAAATGGATTTTTATGTTAAGAAATATATAGGAATTCTTTTCATTAAATTTCAGGGACTTGTCAGGTACAACTCTGAATATTAATTCTAACCACCTTTAACGAAAAGGGCAGTAGCCATTTTGTGTCATGTGAGAAATATTCAATAATCTGATGCTTGTAATCATTCATGTTGAGTCTTTCAACAGGTTTTTGGATAGCTTCCATGATTGACTCCTAGCACAGCACTGACAGTTTTAACTTTCACAATGTGGAATCTATTAAATTACTCTGATTCAAATTACTGATGTCTCCCTTCTGCTTTATCAGCTTCTATTGAAATGGACTAAATAACAAAGGAAGAAAATATCATTTGTAAGCAACATTATAGACTCAGTACACTTGTTTTTTTTACAATGATGTTCCACTTGTACGAGGCTCAAGAGCCACTCGAGGTAGATGGTTACAGAATAAGAGGTAGAGTTTATGGGAATATGTGGAGAAGATAACAGTTAACTCTAGACTTGAACAAATTAAGATTGTAACGATCAGGAAAGCATCTTCTTGGGAGTTGGTTCCACAGAGCTACTATACAAGAGGATGGATATGACGTAGCAGTGCAGCATTCTTCTTTGTTTCTATCAAAATCTCCCATCATTACACTTTTAGTCTCTGGAAGGTCACTTTCACTATTAACAACAGATTGAAAGTCAGTTTCCAGATCAGCTGTCAATCTGGCTTTATCAAATCTATCGAACTTGCTTATTAAGACAGGAGTAAACATTTATGTCATCCAAATAGATGCCAAGTCAGGAATGGACAACATCATCAAGGTTGTTGATAAAGGTAAGAAACAAAGTTGGCCCAAAGATAGAGCCCTGGGTGACATCGACTTTAATACAAAAAGATGTAGAAGGGTGGCCATTCAAGACAACCTTCACTGCATGATCAATAATTACTGTACTATCCTACCAAGAGGTATATTATTTCTGCACAAACTACAAATCTTGGGATAATTTCCCATGTCATATAGATTAGTGGTTGTGGAATAGTATTGCTGGCCAAAAAGTTGCAAATTTTGTCTCTCAATAGTCCAGTAATACTTGATAGTAAACTAAAATCCATATCCTGATAATCATCCATACAGTTGTATGCATAGTGAAGGTAGCAAGATTTTAACATGAAATACATGGTCCAGTGCTCCTGCTATATATTTAGAGATTCTTGATAAAATCTAAAGAAGAATCAGCAATATTATTGGTCCTGATCTGGTGTCTTGACTTCAGTCATTTTCCTACCGCTATAATGTAGCTTCCCTTTTCTATAAATACTTCCATGGTAATTGTTCAGATAATCTCTTTGCTATGATACCTAGAATGTTATGGGCGTCTCATCATTCCTATCTGAAAATGACCAATTCAGATATGGATCTTATATAGTTCTTATTTAAAGAATCTTGTAAAGAACACTGAATACAATCTACAGCCGTCAGCTACAGACAAAGGCTCAAAGTATGAACACTGATAGCTCTTATGGTCAGAAGATCTTTGGAAAATGTTCAAAATAACTAATAGACATAAAAACTAGTGCAATTATTTACACAAGATAATGATACATGGTGTAGATAATAATATTTACTGAAGTCATTTCAGTCTCATAGCAGAATATAAAATCAAGTACAATTATTATCTTATAATTCTGCTTGTCCCTTCCTTATCACATACATACATTATGTCCTGCCAATACCTCATAAATAATGAACTATTCTGTTTTGATCATGTTTAATGCCTTCTACCAATACCTCATAAATAATGGACTATTCTGTTTTGAACATGCGAAAAGATGGAAAAGATATATCAGAGATGTTATGTGGTTTCAGTAAGAAAATCAAAGGAAGAACGAAAGACAGAAGTGTTTAATGCCTTCTGCCAATACCTCATAAGCTTTTTGTTTGCATGAAAAGAATGAATACTTATCAGAGTGTTATGTAGTGGTTTCACAGTGGAGGCTTGTATTTGTACTAAGTCGGTCCTAAAATAGGTTCGACCTACAAAACGTTAGGAACTTGATATAATAGTTAATGACGCAGCAATCTAGTTGTGGTGGCTGATACTTTAATGTCCAACTAACGGTCATCCGGCATTGACTGACTCACCAACTTACTGTGCGACTGGCAACTGCTACTACTCCTACTTATTATAGGTGGGAGAGTCTATTAACAATAGAATAGGTGTTACAGTATAACACAGAGACACTACGTGATTTCTGAGAAAATGGAAGAAAGAAAGAAATATAGAAGTGTTTAATATCTCCTGGCAATACCTCATAAATAATGGACTATTTCATTTTGATCATGTGGCAAGATGGAAAAGATATATTAAAGATGCTACTTTGTTTCAGTGAGAATGTGAAAAAGCAAGAAAGAAAGAAAGAAAAAAAGAAGGGAAGATAGAAGTGTTTGATGTCTCCTGCCAATACCTCATAAATAATGAACTATTCTATTTTGATTATGTGGAAAGACAAAAAAGATATATCAGAGACACTACTTGGTTTCAGTAATAAAATGAAAGAAAAAAGAAAGAGAGAAAGAAAAAAAAGATAGCCGTGTTTAACAGTTGTTTCAGTGAAATTGAGAGAATTGTCATTTCAAATCCTTTCATTTGTAGCCCCTTAATTTTTTAAATAATGACCAGCATTCATTTTTATGATTGTTATTGCAATATTTTGATAAAGTTATTAAGCTCAAATATTTAACAGTGCCATAGAGGAATATCTACAGATGTTTTATGGTTGTAGAACTCACCATGAGCTTTTTCGATCATTAACATAGGAATTAAGATTCATCAGATAATTCAATATTTTTTTAAAGATTCATTCCAATCAAAGCAATAATGTCACCAAGATGCAAGGGGCTACTGGGAATGAAAGAGAATGAAAAAAAATACAAGGAACTGCAAACCCAATCTAAACAGGAACCAAGGGATAAGCCTCTACTCCTGTTCAAAAACTAGGAAGGAGTGTGAAACCATGAAATTTTCATGGGTGTTTCTAGTTTAGTCACTTATTTGGGAGTGGAATTGTTAAATAAAAGGAGTTGTGGTATAGGTAAACATTTAAGAATTAGAAAGAACAACTCCAAAAGGATTGATGAAAGCAATGTATACCTTGAGGCCTAAACATTGAGTCATTAGCAAAAAATAATCCGATACTAACAGATATGTCAGTTCTCAGGATAAATTCTGCTTTAGCCAGAAATAGAATCTGACTCTGAAATTAGAACTTAGATAAACTTGTATTTTTTTTCTCATAAGAAATGTGTAGATTCCTTTAAAAGCTCTGTATAAACTGGAAATAACTTTTTTCTTACAGTTGGGGGTTTAGTAGTGTATATGAATAAATTATGAGAGCAAGTGATATCTTATGATAATTTATTTTAGGATAATTTATACTTATGATAGATTTAAGTTTACATTTAAGTCTATTTATCTGTTTCAATCTGTTCATATCTATCATCTATCTATCTATCTATCTATCTATCTATCTATCTATCTAAATCTGTTCATATCTATCTATTTATTTATCTGTTTCAGTATGTTTATCTATGTGTGTCAATCTGTTCATATCTATCTGTTTCAGTCTTCATATCTATCTATCTATCTATCTATCTATCTATATCAGTCTGTTCATATCTATCTATCTATCTATCTATCTATCTATCTATCTATCTCAGCCTGTCCATATCTATCTAAATCTGTTCATATCTATTTATCTGTTTCACTATGTTCATTTCTATCTGTGTCAATCTCTTCATATCTATCTGTTTCAGTCTTCATATCTATCTGTCTATATATATATATATATATATATATATATATATATATATATGTCTATTCATATCTATCTCAATCTGTTCATTTCTATCTATCTATCTATCTGTCTCAATCTGTTCATATATATTTATCAACAAATTTATATTATAATAAATATAAATATTTGTTGTTAATATTTACATTTCTTGTAAAAAATAATTAAATAAAACATAATGATATATAATTCACAATGTAATTTAAAATAAACAAGTGAATGAATGAATTATATATGTATACATGTTTCATTGAATTTGACAGACAATGAAAAATTTTTAAAGTTTCTCTTATGTTCTTATAGTTTTTTCTTTTAAAGGGACTAAGAGAGTGTGCTTAAATAGTCTGTAATGATTATTGTCTTTTGGCCAGTTCATAATTAAATTAAACAAGTAAATCAATGACAATTTTTTACAGAAAATGGAAACAAAAAGAACACTGAGAATCAGAAAGAGATAATTGAAATTTCTAGGGTACAATATGAGGAAAGAGGGCTTGGAAAATTTAACATCCAGAGGACATGTTGAAGGCAAGAGGGACAGAGGAAAGCATCGAATGAGTTTATGTAAATGCTTAGAAGAACAGGTATTAGAAGAGATAGCAAAAAACAAACATTGCTAAAAGCCACAAGAGATAGGAAATCCATGTTGTCCCTTCTTTAGCATATACATACATTATACCCTGCCAATACCTTATAAATAATGGACTATTCTGTTTTGATCATTGTCTGGAGCCCATGGTTGAAGCCAATGGCCTCCAGACAACTTCAGAATCTCCTGCAGCTCTTCTGGACGGTCTCCTTGTTTAAGTTGGTGAATGCTGCCATAATCCTTGCCTTCATCTTTGGAGAACAATGATCACTAACAACTGCATCGTTTTGCATACAATAATGGTTGACTTCAGTATATACAGCTTACCATCAAAATGAACATGTGTCATTTTGATTTTTACATGTGCACAAAAAATTATTTGCCTTGGCAACCATGTAAAATAAAAATACAGAGTGTAAATGTCAGGGTTCATTTACTGTTGCACATCTTAATTTTTAATTAATATTTTTATTCCAGTTTGATAAAATCTTTTGAAAGTACTTACAGTTTGTTTAATAAAGGTTTTTATTGATAAATATATAATTTAATTAAGATTTATTAATTATCTCAGAAAAAAGAGACAGATATTTTTAGGGGTTCCCTTACTTTTGCGTAGCACTGTATTCATGTGTAAGTGAATATAACAAACTGAACTGGAATTAGAACATGGCTCTCCAATTTCCAATTCCAAGCCCTTATGCATTACACCACCCACACATCCAAGCTTACAGTACCTGGTATTCCCAAGCAGTCACCCATCTAGGTACTGGTTAGGCTTCACATTGTTTACTTCCACTGATTGTAGGAAAACTAATGTTTCAAGGTAATATAACTGTAAGCCTTTAATTTGACTATCTACAAGGTGTGATGGATAAATTATTGTCTAAATTACACAAAAATGAAAGTAACACTGACATCTCATTTTAACAGATATATTTACCAAAATTATACAAAAACATCTTGAATTACTAAAGAGTAAAATTTATTCAATAAAATTACCATTAGCTTCAACCACAGCCTCCAGATGACTTTGGTATCTACTACTCATCTGGATGGTCTCCTTGTTTAAGTGGGTGAATGCTGCCATAATCCTTGCCTTCAGTTCATCTTTGGTATTACAAGGAGTTTTGTTAGTCTCTCTCTCAACTGTGCCGACATAAAATAATCAAGAAGGTTGCAGTCTGGGGAGTTAGGTGGCCAGATTTAAGGGGTGATGTGGTCACAGAAATTGTCTGACAGCAATAACTGGGTTTTCCTGCTTGTGTGGCATGGTGCAGAGTCCTGTTGCCAGACATAGGGTTTTCCAGCAACCACTCTCTCGACCCAGAGTAGCACTACCTCCTCAAGGCACTTGATGTAGGAATCTGTTGAGTCTGAGGCTCTCACCAACAAATTTGGGAGTTCTTTTCTTATCAGAATGATCAGAGTATGTTTTCTGAGCTGCCGTACGTTCGTAATCACCATTAGACTCATTCAACTCTTTCTAAATCCTCTGCACTGTCCTCAGATTGAGACTCAAATGCTCTGAAATGTTTGTATTTATTATACCGGAACATAACCTATTCTATTGTAATAGACTCTCCCACACATAATAAGTAGTAGTAGTAGTAGTAGTAGCGGTCACCAGTTGAGCTCAGTGAGTTGTGTGAGTCAGTCGATTTCGGAGATTAAAGTATGAGCCCCTCAACTAGATTGCTGTGTCATTAATTATTATTTCAAGTGCCTAACGTTTTGTATGTCGAACCTAATTTAGGACCGACTTAGTGAAATACAAGCCTCCACTGTGAAAACTACTCTACAACAGTATTGGAGCTTACAACATGAATGTAAAGTAGTACAGCATGTCATTTCCAAATTTCTGGCAGAGTGAATTGTGTCATGGCGCTCTTTTTCTCACAGACGGTGCCCAACTGACCCTACTATACTCCACAGTGGATAAAATAAAAAAAAAACAATGCACATGCATGAAATTAAAACTATAAAATGGTGACAATTTACCCATTACACCTCATATATCTATATATCTTATATACAGTGTAACCCAGATATAAGAGAGTTGTCGGGACCAGAGAAGAAGTCTCTTATATCCGGGTTTCTCTTATATCAGGGTTTGGTCTATTTTATATAGATTAACACAGGTTCTAATTTGGGACCAGAGAAAATCTCTCTTATATCCGGGTTTCTCTTATATCCGGGTTACACTGTACATATATACATGTTTCAATGAATATAACAGACAAGGAAAGTGTTATAAGTTTTTCTAATGTTCTTACAGTTTTCCATTTGAAGAGGTTTAGAGGATGCAGAAACAATGTATAATGGTTATTGTCTTTTGGTCAATTCATTTGCCATTGTCAAGAGGCGTGTTAATGTTTTCAATGTTTGTATTCTAAGCTATGCTCCGTGAAATTAGTAGCAATTCTTGGCTGCACAAGAGAAATGTAAACTTAACTCTAAGTTACGTTGTCTTTTAAAAGACCACACACACATTATTGCTTTTGCTAAATAAAATGTTGATGCTTGGTTTGAATTGTTTTACATAAATAGCTTTGATCATCTTAAGACATTCTTGACAAAATTTATTTTGAATGATGCTGTTATCAATGAAAATCTCTCTAATGGGAGTGTTGTGGTCATGTTAGGGCCACTAAATAAAGACAAAGAGAGGAATTGAGTTAAACAAATATATTAACAGAAACAGTAATACAAACATCTACAAACGAAAGTGTTACAGCAAGAATGTTCAGTCCGACTGTCAGAGCTGACTGCTGTAAACTTCCCTCTCCAAAAGGCAGTACCTGCTCCTATTTATAGCTAGGAGAGTCCATGCTTGCATGGGTAAATTACCATAACATGGGGGCAGGAAGTTGTCTGTGGGTGTCAAGGTGTGGGTGTTATAGCACTGAGATCACTTAAGTGATTTGTCATCTTTCGACCAGTAGTTGTTGTCATATAATTCATGTAGATGATTTATGACAAGTGATGCAGTCTTATATTGGGCAAGAGAATTGATATATTACATTATTTGTTTATATATGTACCAATTGTAAAAGGTGTTTCATTAAGATGGATCAAAGTCAGCAGTAAATAAATCAGTGTTATTGGTGAAAATTTATTTATTTCTCTATTGGATCATGTTATTTGTCATAGCAATTATGTGTGAAAAATAATATTGCCCAAATGTCTGCCAAATCTGAAAGAAAAAGAAAAAATCATTAGATGCTTAAACTTAATTCACATTTAAAACCAGTTCAAGTTATTGGAACACCTCTTATTCTATTTTTTCTTTAGGATCTGTATTTTTTTTTATCATGCTGGACTCATCTCTTTTACAGTGGCAGCACCAGGTGGCAGTGTTTTGCAGTTGGCATGATTGATAAGTCTGAAGACGACTTGTAAGATTGATTTTTACTTGGAATCACTGTAGACAATGAGGACAAAAATATATTTAAAGACTCATATGTGGAAACCACTGAATAATAGTAAGGACTTAACAAGGTAAGCTGTCTCTTTTGCTAATATGGGCAAACTAATATTCTAATAATCCAATTTTGTAAAGTTCTATAACCACTGGAGAATAGAAAGTATATAGAGTGTATATTTCTGGCATTATTGTTGTCATAGAAGACAATGAAAATCAGTTCATAAATAGATATGTAGGGAAGCTAAATATGTAAGTTTTGATTTTTTTCATATATTTTTAACTATTGTCTTAATGCACGCGTAGCCGATTCATTAGAACATTTGCTATGGTTCACTATGGTTGAGTCATCAGCAAAGCAACTTCTTGAGGTTATTGACCTGGGGAGGCAATCACAGCATGGAGCAACATTAGAAGGAGCCTGAAAACCATACCATGGGTTCACCCAAGTCTTGAGAGTGAAATTGGGTAGATGGAATTGTTCATCAATCTTTTGCTGGCATGATCTCATGTCATCATGACTGAGGGTTTGAGCATACTGGCCTTGTTTGAACTGTTGATCATTTCAGATGATGTGCCCTCTCCCAGAAGCTGTAACTACAGTCTGCTCAACATAATTGCAGTATAAACCATGGGTGGGCTCTGCGAGTATTGAAGTAACACAGATCTGCCTGAGTAGATTTCTGAACCAAGGATTGCCTAGATGCCTTAAAAGATGGGCATGCTAAGAAATGATTGGCCAGCCGTTATTGTGTAAAACATTTAAAAACTTATATTACAGGAAATGGAAAAACCACAAGTCTTGTTGTCACTAATCAAAATAACCTTATCAAGTATAAACTTTCTTTCTTTTTATGTGCCATGTCCTTTCAGGGCATA